ATATAAATATTATCTATATAACCACTATCACATATATAATACAGAGTGTATGTAAATAAAAAGATAAACTTAATTATGTAAATAAAGAAAAAGGCATCTCCCGATCGTGCAATTAAATGTTGCTAATGGTTTGCGCCATCTGTCGGTACAAATATCAACTATTCGTTGAATTTTATTAATTCCAGAATTTACCAAATTAAAAGTCAACGAATAGTTGATATTTATTCCGATAGATGGCGCAAGCCATCGGTAACTTTTAGTTGCACAATCAGGAGATGCCTTTTTCTTTATTTATCCATCTGAACCCAGTACAATTTCACTTTGGTACTGTTAATCATGTAAGTTAGTGAATATAAGATTATTGGGGGAGAAGTAGTGCAAATAGGGCGTATAAATATGAATAAAGCTGGCAGGAAGGAGAAGGGAGGTGTCTGGGGAATAGGCTGGTGGACGGATTATTTACCTTCTTAATTGACACAATGGCCTGCCTAATTCTATGCCTTCGTCTACTTTATTACATATATTCCTCTCCGGTTATGCAAATTAAAACGGTTTGAATATAAACGCTATTTTTGAGCACTTTAAATAATATATACTTGTTTTTATGTGTTATATTTTCAATAAATGTCTTTAGGGAGCAGCTTTAAGTATCTTACGCTATTGCATATTTTAACCCGACTATGCAAATAATATTCGTATAAATATATGCACACTATTATCGAGAGAATTTAAATAATATATGCTCTTCTATTTATTTATCCTTTTTGTATGTTATATATATTCAATAAAAATGGTCATGGGGTAAGGAAAGGCAGATTCAGGTATACTACTCTATTGCATATTGCTGCCCGGTTATGCAAATCAGATTGATATAAATATATGCTCAATCTATGATGGAATTCAAATGATATACTTTCATTTTGATTCTTTTTTTTTTTTGTTGTTGATATTATATATTTAATATATATGCATGATATTGTCCTCAGCTTAAGCAATACAGCAAATCATATGGGATAGTGTGAGAGTCATTGTTAAAGGAATGTATAGTTAGTTACAGCTGGTTAGTGCTAAATAAGATCCTTACTCATCTAAAGAGACAAAGGTCGCCTCTCCCGTCAAAATAGATGTCAAACTAGACGCCATCTATTGACCGTCGCCGCATCTAGCGGCATCGGGTCGGTGATAAAGCCACAACACCAGCTTGCGTTTGCGGCGACGGTCAATAGATGACGTCTAGTTTTGACGTCTATTTTGACGGGAGAGGCGACCTTTGTCTCTTTAGATCAATATCCTCCCGGCAAATTTTCCATCTATATCCTTACTCACGTCTTCACACTTATTGATTACCTTGATTCCATTATCAAGTACAAAAGGAAAATAAGATGATAATAAAAATAATTATCTTACAATATAGTTATTCTATTTTATTTTCTTGAAGAGTGAAATCTGGTCCAGAAGTTTTCAGGTACTCCTGTCAATTCTTGTTCTCTCCCAACCTTCCAAGTGATGTGAAGTCGTGTCACAGCATATTGCTGAATATAGATAATAATAATAATAATATACTCTGTCACAAAAATATATATCAGTGAATAATATTTTATAACTAATATTTACAATGACTAGATAATTTCAAAAATTTAATATAAAATATTGCTGTATTGTGTCAATAAAACATGAGACAGCGGTATAGCGGGGATTGAACAACAAAGTTTAAAATAAAGTGATGTGTTGAAATATGTTCCTGTACCAAGGAAACTTTATTAGGTACCGCTCAAAAAGAGCAACCTAGCTTATTTTATTTACATGATAAATATAAGGAGATTCTTTACAGAAAAAAAGGTCTACGGAGCGGGATTCGATCCCTGTTCATGGCTATCGGGAATTGAGGGTTTTAAGCACTCGTGTGTTTAAAGATGTTTCTATTTCAGGGAGGTCAATGTTTGCTGGGTGAAGGATTGTCCCTTTTTATAAGTTTTGTCTGAAAATCTTCATTCTTTGAGAGTAACTTATCTTTCTTTAGTGTTTCTCCTTTGTTCTCGTTTATTTTTACGTCTTTATGGAATAACACGACAAAACAGTAATAAGTTAAAATAGAAAACACGTGGAATGAGATTGATAAAAATATAACTTAAAGTGAAAGTAGAACGGTTATAACGAAACTGTATTTGATGGAAATTTTGTTATTATATCGCTATATATGGTTTAAATGTAACTTGGGCCTGGCTCATCACTGGAGAACACTTACAGAACTTCACCAGAGTGTATAATTCTCTCAAAATATTTTGGTTGTATTCAGAGTTTTTCTTCAATATCCAGTAGTTTCTGGATAATATATTTTTTAATTATCTCTAGTCCACGTGATACAGGCCATGATAATCGTAGGTATTAAGCGACTCTGATTTTACTGCAAGTGCACCAAATGTCTACACGTGTAAAGTGCAAAGGGTCCCGTTTAGTTACTTGCTATCACTGATAGGGTTGTATTTTTGAAATAATCAGGGGTTATATTAGAGAAACCTTTAAAAAAAAGTATTTCCAATTCTGGTTTGTAACCCGAGTTTCCGAAGACATCAGTTTATATTATCATATTTGCATATAGAAATGAGTAGATTTCTTGTGGGACAGAATTCCACATTAAGTTTCCTTCTACAACCCAAATCAAAGAATAGTAAATGGTACTAGACAACAGGAATCCATCAGCGATCATCTTTATGATCACAGCAGACCAATGAAAAGAAACGAAATAATAGATATAGCCAATGATTGAGTCATGTTGAATATCTTAATATATCCCATAGTTTCGTCATCTTTTCATCCACTTATACATACTTTTATTTTATAAATATCTTGTTCTCATATAGCATATCTATACTTCATTTACATATCTTTCCTTATTTACCTATTCGTTCTTCAAATTAAAGACACTTCGGTCAGTAAATCTTTTTTATTACCTCGATGTTTCGACAAAAATATTTTGTCCTCGTCAGAAGCGCAAAGCGTTAAAAATTATTCTAAGGCTGGAAGGGCGTTCTCACGCGGTTATTTCAAATTTTGTTCAACATCTAAAGCACGATTCCCTATTCGTGTTTTTATGCAAATATGATATGCTATTTGACGATAGATATGGGATTAAAACATGTGTTTCCAAATGGTGATATGGAGAAGTTTATGTTTAGAGATAGACTTGAAGGTGAGATGTCTGGAGTAGAATAGGTTGTTAAGGAAAGTGATGAAATCAATAATCAATCAGAGAGAGAGTCGAATAATGAAAGCAATGAGTGAACCATTTCTTCCTGCCATTCTTTTTATTGTTATTGCTCTGGGCATTTCTTTGTCGATACCTAGGTCGATCCATGGTCAACCCATCCTTGCCTTGGTTCTATATCACGTGGAACTTTAAAAACATATACCACATTTTACGATGCATTAGCGCGCCATCTGTTATCAAAATTCGAAACTATTGTAGATGTGTATGATTCTCCCGTTAATTTTTCCATTGCAGTAAGGGCAGTGTATAATTCTTCTCAATGTATAATTTTCTTACAACATAAACCTTAGATTATTAAAACATTGGATCAGTAAACATGAGGGCAACCATTTCGTTCAATTACATTACTTTATTTTTCATATAACCTTTTTGTAAACAAAAAAAGGTAATGATGATAAATTCAATGAATATTTACACAATCATAGAAAAATTATATTAAACCTTTATATAAACATAAATATTCTAACTAAATTAAACAGGCAGTATAAATTGTTTTATTTTAAAAGAATCATACGCGTCTATAATAGTTTCGAATATTGATATACCACATATGAAAAAATAATAAAATATTTTAAAAAGGTCAGTTGTTGATATTAAAACCAAAAAGGACATATCCTGACCATGAGCACATGAGTCGTTTAGATGGCAGTGTGCGCCACCTAGTGGAATAGTAATCAACTAAACGTTGATTTAGCCTCTTCCCTGATATGGTTGGCTTTTCCTGATTTATCAAGAAAATGGGTTGGCCAAATATCAAAGCCAAATATCTAAATAATACTCATGTTAGTGGTCAAGAAATGCCTTTTTTGATTTTAATATAATTACACCTATCCCCCGATTTACACGGTACTTTTTTTACACGTTTTCGCTTTTACACGGTTTTCCAAATAAGTTTTTGTTGTTGTTGTTTTTATCGCACTATACTAAATGCTACTGTGATTGAACACATGCGCTGTGTACACATCTCACGAGGAATCCCGAGCTTATGTGCTGACTACATATTTTAACCTGTCAATGCATTTTATTTTTATTTCTGTGTACACCTATCCCCCGATTTACACGTTTTTCTCAGGAACGTATCTACCGTGTAAATCGGGGCATAGGTGTATTTATATTGAAGCTTGATTCTTAAAATAGTCCAACCTCGTAAGAAACTAGTTTCCAATAGCAATGGAAAATACAATAGGAAAGAAGATTAAGGTATTATCAGAAGGAGAGCGGAAAGAAAAATAGATGGGTTGATAGAAAATCATTAATTTATAAGAAATGTTGAGAAGATTGGAGAAGGAACGAGACACCAATAAATGATCATCAGAAAACCAAAGAATTAAATGAGACATTTATTAAGAGGAAATGGATTGACGAAGTAAGTTTTGGAGGATAAATTGGAAATATAGCAGAAGGAAGAAGAAAATTTGAAACGGATGGACTGGATGGGAAGCTATAACGATATAAAGCATCGAGGCACTGGAGAATAGGACCTGCTAAAGAACAGATAAAGTAATAAGAAAGTTTTTAGAAATTGGCTGCACAAAACAGCTTTGATTCTGATATTCTTTGGATGCAATGGAAAACTGATTAGACGTAGTGACTATATGCATATATAATACATGCGTCTATGATTATAGAACGACGTTTAGCAAGTTTTACCGCAACGGTTTTTTCAGAACGAAAATTCGTATCATATTGAATTATAAATTACTTTATATAATATTTACGAACGGAAAATTATGTCCAGGGTAGCCTAGTGGACATGGCATCTGCCCGGTTAGCGGAACACTGTGGGTTCGATTCCCATCCCTGCACACTTTTATTTTTCTGTTCATCATTATTTTTCACAATTCATCCTTTCATACTTCATCCCTAAGGATAGGAATAATCGTTATTTCTCCTTAAATAATTAAAATTACGATTTTTCGTTCTGTAAAAAGAAACATTTGTAGTAAAACTTGTTAAACTTCGTTCTATGTATGCATATATGTTGGTATGCAGTGTATCCTGGAAATCGACCGACCAATCAGCGAGCAGGCGGCCAATAATTAAATATTCATGTAATCAGGAGAGAGAATCATCATCAACGATGGCCATAGAAATCCCGCAGCATCCATCATAGATACAGCCCTTCTCAATTAGCCATGCCATATATGTAAATATGGATTTATGTAACAGATTTGTTGCCAACCGATCTATTAACTAATGGAACATGATCTGGATATAATGTTACTATTGGTTTAATTAGATGTTTGTTATTATAAAATGTATATTTGTTACGTAGATGGTGACGTAATCATTTATTTATTCTAGTTCGTCCAAGACAATCTTCCCCCAACATAGATTCTTCAGTGAGCTCTGTCTTGGTGTAAAGTGTTCTGTATAAAATGAGGTTATTTCCATGGTTGCGGGTAGGTGCTTGTACTCCAAAATCTCTGGCGATAATTATTTTAAAGCAAAGATTCGAATATTTAATATGTATACACAACCAGATTTCGGATTAAAAAGAAGACATCACATTCCCCTTATTCAAAATATTTAAAACCAAAAAAAAAACTAAATCTAAAAATACTAAGATACGAATATCGACCCGGAAGTAAATCAAAATATCCCTGATGGAAGATCTTCTTGAAAGCCCGTATCTATGCAAATCAAAAGATATAGAGGACTCAAAGAAAGATGGCATCAACATGCTTACCGTCTCCAGTGGAGCGGGACTGATTCCTCCAAAAATCTCCCTGGATTTGGAGGAATGGCTATCTTGGATTTGTGATCCAGAACTAATATGGTGGAACCAGCCGGTTCTAACCGGTTTTATATTACGGAATTTCTAACTTCGATATCTCGAGAGATTCTCTCTTCTACCAGGAGTCGCAGTGGAAAATGGCATAGACCTTTGATTGGTTTATAATAAAAGATATTATAATTGAATCTATTGTTCACGAGATTTTCTCATTGTTTTACAATTATATTAAATTACTCGACCTGTCCTTATATATTTCATTAGAAAATACTTATAAAATATTTCGCACAAATTAGTTTCGAACATAAAGATGGCGCGAGCTGATTCCTTATATCTCATAGAAGATATGTAAATTTGTTTCCTTATATCTCATATATGTATTGCATTACAGCCTGTTAAAGGCCGTTATTTTCTGAAAGCTCTCTCCAAGCTCATACCTCTTTAATAAAGAAATTATTCGCTTTTACCATTGAAATCTTCTTAGCATAGTTAAATTTGTTTTCTGTAATTCATTTATAGTTCCTTTTTTATTCTACGGTTTAATTAGACTCTTCTATTTTATTGAAACTATGAAACAAAAAGACTCAAGGATAACATAAAAGAACATAACAAACATTTCAGAAAAGCACATTTTTCTTTGTTCATTAGCATATATATATTAATTAAAAGAACTCATTAAAAATATTTTTAAAATATCTCTATATAGATGTGGGTTTTTCATTTTATAAAGGTTTTACATTCTATATTAAAAATGATATGTATTTAAAGAACTAATTGCACCAAAAGAACAAAAACTTCCAAATAAAACTTAAAAGTTTTTTTTTGTTGCCTAATTAATTTTCTACTCATTTTCGAGTAATTAATTTTGTTCTCTCTCATTTTTATATAAAATATTTTAATTAACTGTTATTTATATACGAAGTGTGTTTTATACGTGAATATCGGTTTTAATATAAAGGTATTCTAAAGTAAAGTATAAAGTCTCACAATGGGAGAAATGTCTTATATTTGCATATAATGCCTATCAGCCTTCCGCACTTCTACATTATATTCAGGGGGTCGGTGGAAGGCTGGTTAAACCGTTTGGTTTTCGACCACTACGACCCGGGTTCGATTCCCGCATTGGACACTTTTTCTGTAAAAAATAAATTGCTCCAATGGCCCCCGATTCTTGCAAGGTCCAACCCCACCAGCGAGTGCAAGTAACTAAACGGGGCTCTGGCACATTTGTAAGTGCAAAGTCGAATTGCTTTCACATGTGTAGACATGTGGTGCGCTTACAGTAAAAAAAGCAGTCGCTAACTACCCACCATGATTATCATGGCCTGTACCACGTGTACTAGGGATAAGCAAAAAAAAAAACAGTATATTCTGACTTAACATTGACCGTATCACTTCACCAGCTTAAACACCATTATGGCTAATTCTTCTTATTTCATAACTCGTTTCGTAGAATGCTATAATAAGACGAAGCCACTTCTCTACTGATGAAGGCTACATAGCCAGAAATCACGGTCTACAGATTGGCTTTCGTCTAAATTTACCAAACTGCTGTTGTAATAATATATTTTTATATAAATCTATTGTTTCTTCAAATGAATTATTTTAATATGCATTTATCAAAATGGATAAAAAGCCTTTTACATATTATATATGTAAATGAATTTTACATTTTACACATATATACGAGTATGTATTTTGAAAATAGAGCCATCCATATTTAATTCATTAGATAATAAAAAGGGATATATTGTATTTAATAAAAGATTTATTTTGCCAATATAAAAGTTGGCGTTCAGCAAGCCGAAAAATTGGCAAAATAAATATTTTATTAAATCCAATATATACCTTTTTATTATCTAATATATATGTATATGAACTGCGATCAAAATATTATCAAAAAAACACGTTTCTAAATATATAAATAGGCAAAGATAAACATTATAAGATTTACTAAGAGAACAACTTGATGAGGGAAGAGTATCTTTAATACTCTTAAGATACTCTTCCCTCATCAAGTTGTTCTCTTAGTAAATATTAGTGAAGAGGGATTATTGTTTCAACATTTCAATTATAAGATTTGCTTTCCTTGAAATGGCTGCTACACCGGGTCACCGAAACGTTACAAATAAAGAATTAAAAAATGTTTGTACTATATAACTAAGCATATATTTCAAAATAGATTAAAAAGCATTCTTGAAATTAGTTTATTAACATGATCGCGAGCGTTTTTTTGTTAATAAACACAACTTATTGTACGAAAGGTCTCTTTATAGAAAAATTAAAAAATATATATATATATATTTTTTTTTTGAAAATAGAGCAATCCATAAATGAATTTTTAAATAAAAAGGCATATATTGGATCAAAATATCATTTATTTTACCAATATTTCAGTTGGCTGAACGCCAACCTTTATCAAGGTATATAAAGGTTATATGGCGTTTAGCCAACTGAAATATTGGTAAAATAAATGATATTTTGATCCAATATATGCCTTTTTATTTGAATATATATATATTATAAAACGATTGATAATAATAACATTATGGAAAAAGATTAATGATCAAAAATGATTTATCTTACCAATATTTCAATTTCCAGTGAACGCCAATCTTTATCAAAAGATAAAACAACGTGTTTATTTTCTGTAAGTGAGCTCAGCGCCACATTGCGTTATAAATTTTAACTTTAAAATATTTTTTCGTCTCAATATATACATTCTTGATTTTTTAGGTATTATATTAAATATATTAATAAGGAAAATATAAAATTTATACGCAAAATATATATCATTGATATTTACTAAAAATTATTATCTCATTGTTTTAATTTAAAAAAATTGATTTATCAAAAGAAAAATGGTTTTAGTTAAAATTTTATATAACTATGTAACGTTTTAAAATTATACAATGAAATAAATATTTTGTGTTGTTTCCTTTGATAAAAATTTGAATATATTAAACAATTTCTGAAAGTATATATGTGCTTTTTTAATGTGGGAAATATAGGTTTTGCACTTTTAAAACAACATTTTACACTTTAATCACAACATTTTTCATTTTAATAATAGTTTATACTTTAAAGGAAATATTTTTCATTTTAATAACAATATTTTGCTTTTTACAAACATTATTTTCATTTTGAATCAATATTTTTCGCTTTAATTTGATATTTTAGCAATTATTTGATGAATATGTTAATAGAAATTATTTTATTTAAAATTGAATTGGTCTAGTTTTTTACTTTTACATCAGTTTTAATCAAGAAATTTACAATTGAGATTTCTTTCAAGTTATTGATTGTTTAAATATTACATTGAATTTTTCCTAAATTTCCGCTACAAGCTGCTTCCCACAATAAAAATTTCAGCTGTTTTCATAACTATCATTTTAAATAACTATGTATTTAGAGAATGGAAATATAACACAAAAGTTATCATTTTGGTTTAGATATTTCTCCATCACATGTGTGACAAGCTACACTGTTCTAGTTAATATAATGCCATCAAAATTGAATATTTTTAAATATTAAATTCTCAACTTTTTTATAGGCTTTGCACTTTAAATATAACATTTTATACTTTAATGAGAACAGTTAACGTTTTAAATATCAATATTTTACACTTTATAATAATAACATTTTAATTTTTAAGCGATATTTTTTTTTATTTTAAATTTTAACAATTTTGCAAATGATATATAATTTTTAGTGTTTAATAAGAAAACATTTTAAAAATTAAAATTGGTCAATACGTTTTGCAATTTTAAGACATTTCACACTTGTAATGAAACATTTCACACTTTAATAAAGTTTTTCAATGGTTTTCAATGGTAATATATTATTTCCTATTCTTAAATGAATATCAAATCACTCGAGGAAATTGCTAATGTATGTACTGTTTACCTCGAGCTTATAAAAATGTATTTTTAAAAACACGATAATGAAATCGTCTGAAGATTAGAAAGTTTCTAATGTTTAAATATATAAATATTTTAGCGGCTTATTAAACAGTGATTAACTTTATTCGAGAGATATTCCAAATGCACCATTTTCATTGCTCAATTAAAACG